AAATATATATATGGTAAAAAAAAATGTACCATAGCATACATAGTTTGTGTAACTATGGCGCGGCATGATGTATTATTTTGTGATTATTTATTTTCATTCGGAGATTCAAGTTTAAATTAATAGGGTTGTGCCGGTGGGTATTTTAGGGGTTATTTGGTGTAGTAAATTTGAAATTAAGATTTATCAATTTTATTTAATATAATAATTGATAATTTTAATTATTAATAATTTAGAAAATTTTATTTATTAAATTAAATAAAACTGTTAATGTTGTATTAAACAATCATTTAAAATTGAACCATTATTTTGAGAAATATAATTTATTAATAAAAAAACTATAAAGGTTACAAGACTAACCAAATAAGATAATAACCTAGAGGGATTGTACTTATAAAATACGTGAAACTATAAAATTAAATAATTTGATGTTTATATGAATATTACAGTTAGATTTAAAATAAAAATTTAACAATTATGCTATATTTTAGTATAATTATTTGTTATTCTTAATTTTTTATCATTATCAAAATCAAGTGTACTTTAAGAGTTTCACATTCATATTTAGAAGTTCATGGAATAATTTATACTCTCCCTTTTTGAAGAATGTTAATCTATCTGGAATCTCTTCAATATATTTCCTTGGACTAAGATTGGAATATCGCATCCAACGTAATTGTCAAGCTCTATAAGATTTAGGGTGCATTTGATATTGTAATTGAGAATTTTTTTATGTAATCATATAATAGTTTTAGATATACATATATTTGATAATTTTTTTTCAAATTATTTTTGTTTAAAATTGTAAAAAGTCATAGGAGATCTACAATAATTTTATATAAAGCTATAAACTTCATTTTAGATCTTTCTTATTGAGGCTTTTAAGAAAAAACCCTAATATTTAATATAATTACAAAACTATCCATTAAAATCCAATTTCATATAATTTAATTACATCATAATTTATAATATTTTAATAATTATATATTTTACATTATTTTTAAATTTTTAATTAATAATTAATAAAATTTATCATATTTCATCTATAGTATTTTTAAGAAATAAATAACCAAACACCAAAATAATTTTCGTCCACAAATATAGTACAGCACTGTTCAATACAATCATAGCGATAACTATATTTATAATTACAATTATAATTACAGTTATAATTACAGTACTTTACAAAAATCCTAAATGTACCCTTAAGGTTTTGAAGTTCCAGAACATATTAAATAGGTTCTGAAACCTTCAAGGAAATTTTGAAAAACAAAAGGAAATCAAGAACTTTTCATTCTAAGTTACAACAACTAGTTTGATTTAGTTTTTTATGTGAGGGTTTAAAAAATATGCTGGAAAAGGAAGCAAACACTAAGTGAAGTAAACCCCAAAGTGTAGACTTGTGAAAAAACTCTTAATCTTCAAGTCTTGGTTTTGTATCTGTAAGTGTTTA